AATTGGATTTATTTTTCAAGAATTAAGTACGACATTTTTTTAAAAATATCCTGAAGTATATATTAAAACAAAGTTAATATTATGTTACCATTTTTTTTAGTCTACATAAATGTTTTTTTTTTACTAAGTGGAATTACTGTGAAAAACTAAATAAATTTACAACGTTTAGGATACGAATTTTAATTTGATGTTCTGCTGATGTTATTGCTACTTTCATTTTAAGAAACCATGAAAATGTGTCTGAGCTTGAAAATCCTCTCTCTGCATTCTATAAAAAAATAACATGTTCTGGAGTTACAAACAACCATCAATGTAACTCTATTGTCAACAATATTGGTTTACTTTTTCATGTCTCTTTTTTCAAATATACAGATCATTTACACTAATTTTTGTCAAACCCCAAAATAATAATTAAAAAATAAACACCCGTTAGAGAGGTTGTCGTATTTTTTTAACATTTCGTTTAAGTAGTGGATTTGCCAATATATGAATATATCCATTTCATGTATACCTTACAGAATATATATATATATATATATATATATATATATATATATATATATATATATATATATATATATATATATATATATATATATATATATATATATATATTATAATAATAATAATAAGTATGTATACGTAAACAATCCTCGAGCTCTTAGAAACAAAATAATTTCGTTTCCTTGCAGGTTTATAAACGATTGCTCCTCTCTTAACAGGTTAAGTAAGTGTCCTTTAAACTATATGTGGCCGATATATTTGTGATGCAGAAACGATATAAATAATGTGCCACGTCACACACTTGCCATCAACATGTTCTCAAATTGGCCGATCATAAAATATACACGTTTTTATACAAACCGGTCTATTTAAGATGCAGTGTCATGAAATTTTATCTTTGTAGCGGAAAAGACGCTCTCACTCCAATGAAAACAATTTACAATTTAATTTATTTAAAGTTCTTTTTTCACTCGACTTAAATTTTGTTTCATTGAGGTGAAAATGTTAATTTATGTTAAAACCGCAACATAATCTTCAGAACCAGAACGTTTTAATTACTTAAAGATTAGGCTTCAAAGGAGTGTGCCTCGAGTGGATGTGTGTGTAAAACTCGAACAATGACAATGTTACACACACTAAATGTCATCACCAGGAAATAGTAACACTTAAAAATTTGACTACGCGCAGAAACCGAAACGTGTTATTTCATTGAAATGTCTAATACTGACTTTTCATCGTCGGCGAGCAACCCTCACTCTTATCAGAGGCGGTTTTAGGGATGTGAGGACACTGTACAAAATGAGCACAATGCCCCCTCTAATTTCTATATCACTGAAAAAATTCTGAGAAATTTTAATACAAAAATGTTTCAAAATAAATTAATTTAAAAATAATCTGTTTTAATTATAATCTGTTTTAAACAAACTCTCCCATATTCGCACCCACTCCAACCCCCACTAAGACAGCTTCTGTCCTAATAAATAAAGATTACAAAATTGTGTAGATAGTAAACAAAAATGCACCGAGATTTTATATTTTGGATTTGCACATTAAAAGTGAATTTATGTCCACGTTTATTGTTTTATTTTTTTATTTTATTGGTGGTAGTCGCGTGTACCTGGGAGGAGGAGTGAGTCAATTACACCCGCTTAAACCCCAAAATTCACATTTATTACTTTTTAAAATTTCTTTATGCTGGATTGGGTGGGAATTTTTTATAGGCAATCTGATTAAAATCAGATTTCCACTTTTTTCACATAGGACAGTGGTGAACTGATTTTAATAAGATTGATTTTTTTTATGTTTTAGACATTGCGTAAAACATTGATGTAGAAGTTTTAACGCATGCTAAATATTACCTAGCACACGAACATGGAAATTAAATAATAGTTATGTAGATTTATGCTTTATCAACAGATAATTGGGGATATTTTTTTTATAGTTATTTGTTTTACTTAAGGATCGTTTGTCAACTAGTTTGATACAAGGCATATTACTAGCAAATACGGTATACCTGGTCCATGTCTCAATAAACACTCGAGGAAAGTCATATGGCATTTTCTAAAACATCTATACTGTGTTGTTCTAATAGGGTAGACACAAGAATGTGTAAAAGTGTTGACTTTGAATTTTAATGTTTAAATTGTCTCTGAGACGTTTATCATACTTAAATAGGAATGTCCAATTGTCATCCGTTCAAGCACACTCACGTGGTTCAGTGATTGCTTTCGTCATAGTCTCACAGAGCAACGCGAGAATTTGGGTTCAACGAGACTAGATAGACGTACACATGTAGTCAAATTTCTGAATGAAAATAGTTTAAAATTTGGGAGACAAAATGGTGAAATTAACTGCAGAGTTAATAGAACAGGCTGCCCAATATACAAATGCAATTAGAGAAAGAGAACTGGATCTGCGAGGTATTCTAATGACCGGGATTCACAAAAACGCATGCTCTTAGTATAGTTGGATCTTGATTGGACAGTTTTTAAAGGAGATACTTTGAAGTATACCCACATTTGGCGAGTTGGAAGTAATTTTTGTTATTCTTCATGCAGTAAAAAAGTTTAGAAACTGATTTTGAAGTACTGATTTGGTTACACAACATTCACACATGTAGGCGGTATTACTTTTCTTTTAAATAGTCTTTGCATTCGTGGAGATTAATAAAAAGGAATCGAATGGAAGTTTCAGTAAAAAAATCTTAACGAGTACCGCAAGACTGGAAATTAGCATTATCGCTAGCCTGCTTTTATGAATTTCCAGTCGAACTAGTAGTTGTCAAAACTTGAATAGAAGAATAGTCGGTTGGCAAGTAAAGTTTTATCGCCAACAATTTGAGAAGGACTACAGTACAGTAAAAGTCGTGCAGGTCATGTAGGCATTCGACACCGATTATTTCAGTAATGGGTGTGATGTTTTAGAATTTGATTTTATATACCTTTAAATGTCAATGATTCACTATATTCGGACCCTCATGCATTCATTTTTCTTTTGGAAGATCATTATTTACCCTTTCTTAGAAGCACACATGGCAAAATTGATGTTAAAATATGTTCACATTTTAGACAATCAGCATAAAGGAGTGATCAAGTACAATCTTGAATGAATGTTGCACACTTGTGTCACAGTGAAAGCTACACATGTTTATATAATAATTCATACTATAAATTGTGACATTGAACTCAACCTGCTTGACCCAGTTTAGTACCTGACCATCATTGTAAAAGTCCATAGAGATTGATAATTTTTGTCTGATAGTTAAGATGCAATAAATAATCAGGATTGATTAGACTTGTTAAACAAAATTAATATATTTTTAAGCAACAATATAAGAGGAGTAAATTCACATACATGACCTGTATGAACTTTAGTGAAGATTTAGTCTTAATTTCCTCAAACCCTTCCAGCACCATTATATATATTTTGACATTTGTATTGGGTGTGGGATTAGAACTCATTGCCAGTAGCATAGTTGGAATTCACTGATGACTGTGTGATAACAGCCTTGGATAAAGGCTTATCATTGTTATCTAGTAAACATAAACAGTGTTACATCCAGCCATGACTGAAATTGATAGGAAGATGACTGGACTTCATAGAAATTGCTAGTATAACATTCCTTATGTCTTCAGTCCAACAGTCATGTGATATCCCCTGAAAATTGTGTGCTAAAAAAATTAACAAGAAACTTCCTTAAAAAATTCATGTAATTATTTGATTTTAAAAAGCATGGAATAGACACGTAATTCTCATCATATTTCTAAGAACAATGACTTGAAACCTGTCACTTTTGAAGCACTTTGGAGAAGACCAAATTTATCAAGCAGGGAGCAAATATCGGCATGCTTTTTGTTGGTATCGTGTAACTACAGTGACGTGCTCCAAACTTGGTTAATCTGGATTTCTAAAGGCTGCAGTGACGGCAACAAGGTTTTTGGAATAAAGATGTTGAGATTTGTGTGGCCTTTCAATTTGTTTTAAATTATAGATATTGTGACTTTCATTTATTATTTTGAATTGTTTAGTACAATAGCATTGGAAAGGTGAATTTTGTTGGTATCACATGACTGTTGATGAACATGTAGACTGCGAGATTTGGGTTCTTCTGTGATTAGCAGTTTAAGTGACAAATGCTATAATTTTGACTTGTCTGTCAGCAGTTTAAAGACGTAAAGAATGTCCTCATCACAATTTCTGAGAAAATAAATCATTTTCCCATTGATTTAATGCAGGTATGCCATGATGTAAGGTCATTCATCCTTTCTTGGCCCAGTAGTAAGCAGCTACCCTATGCCAGTGTTGTGCATTGTCAGTGAATATTAACTTTTAAGTAGGAATGTAATTAGACCCCTTAAATGTCATAATATCTACAATGTTGTTGGAAGAGACAAGTGAAAATTAAGCAGCACTATCCAAATTGTTTTGCCCTTCTGGCTACATAGAAATTTGTTGTTATAATTCAAGGTCTGGTACATCTGTGAAGATGAAATAGTTCAGCACATTAAACGAGGCTAACCTTCTATGAGTGATAACAACCAAAACTTGTTACATCTTGAACAATCGGTCTGTTCTGTTCATCAGTGATTTTATTAAATAAATTGGGGGCTCCAAGTGGTCTAAAGTGCTGTCCGTTACGGATCACTGCCATCTCACCTGTGTGGGTTCGAGTCTAGGATGCGTCGAATGTGGATATGTGAAAAAGCTTGACAGTAGCTTCTCGTGGGTCGGTGGTTCTTTCTGGTGATTTCCCGGTTTCTTCCTCCACCATTAATACTGGCTGCCATGAATAGCCTATTGTGTGCTGAAAAATGGCATTAAGCCCAACAACAACATTAAATAGAGTGTGTTACCAAATATATATCAACTGACCAGTCAGTATTTCCAAAAATTATAGTGGTGCTTGTTGTAATGATGTATAACATTTCATAAAGTAAATACTCTTAAAGAATGCTTGAACTTAGAATTCATTTCGTTAACATGTTCCCATTGTGACCGCTCTGGTGGCCTAGTGGTTAGAGAGTCCACCTTGGATGCAGGAGGTCATGGGTTCGAGCCCTGGTTGAATCATACCAAAGACTTACAAAACTGGTACTAACAGCTGCCTCGCTTGGCGTTCACCATTAAGAGGTTTGTGTTAGGACTGGTTGGCTTTGGTGTCAGGATAATGTGACTGGGTGGGACATCATGCTACATGTCTGTGGCATTAAGCCCCAGTGCTAAACATCAATATCAACTGCCATACTGCAGACATCATGGCGATATGTCTGAGAAATTGTTAAAGCTACATTAAAAATCTACATTAAAAATCTAAATCACACACACACATATTCCCATTGTAGTAGTATTCACCTGATTCCCGTAGCAATTTGAACCCACTCACCGCAATGAATTTAAAAACAAAATTATCAATGATATAAGAAATACTTAATCCTTTCATTCGTTTATAATTTTTAATCTGATTGATACTCTGGGATCCGTAACACAAGTCATCTTGTTCGGATTTCAAACAAAGCAATAGTTTTCAGTATAACCAGTGAGCAGTCTTTATAGTAGTCATCCAACCTTCTGTCAGTTTGCACCCTCTGTGCAGTTTTAAAAACAAAAGCATCAATGGCATGACAAAAATGCACAAAACCTCATAATTTATTTCATTAATTTCTAATTTCTGAGCTAAGTGTCACATTCAAACAGCAGGGTATTCAATATAAATGAGACTTCACACCTGCCTTTCCTGCTTCCTGGGAAAAAACATTTTCATTGAAGAGATTAGGGTCCATTGACTACACATAAACAGAAAGTAAAACTTGCGTTTATTGCATCCAATATTTGCAATGGCTAGTTTTTGATATTTTTCAAAATATTGAACAAACAAAATGGCAAGCAATACATGGGTTCCAAGGTCCATGACTCCCTAACTTACAGAAGGTTAAGGAATAATTCAGAGCATATTGAAAACAAATTGTTAGGTACCCCTGGGTGACACTTGGATTAGAAATTATAAATTAATAAAAAATTACTTTATCCATTAGAAACTGCTGAATAAAATTTAACCATCTTTGACACAAAGCAACCTGTCATAGGAGCTTTGCAGTATTTGACAAATAATTCTGATCTGTCATCACATAATGGGTGTAGATAGAAAAACTAGAGGTACCTTGACACAGTTGTTTCTATAATATATGCAATCAACAGCATATGAAGAAATTTCAACAGAATGCATACTGATTTCTTGATTCACTTATATTTTGTTGTTAGATGTCAGCCAGAAGAGCTGTATCAGGTTCTCTGCTGTATTTATAAATGTGCCAGTTCCTTTTAAAAATTGCACATTTTCAACTCTCACAAACTCCCACTTTCTACCCAAGTGCCCTTACACACAGGAACTTGGCAAGTTTGTTGTTCCTTTGTATTTTTGTCTGAATATTTGTGCTTTGGTGAGTAAAATGAAAATTTATAGATGGAAAGGAGATATCTTTTTGTCTTTTCTTTGCTTTCAATGGAATGTGAAGTAGTTTTTCCAGTGACCTTTACCCCTTGTATAGTAGATAAATTTATATGCTGGTGAACATTATTTATCTGCCATTTTCAGTCCAGAAACTTGAAATTTGAAGTTTTTGAAACCCAAGATCCAAATTCTGTAATGTTCAAGATGTTTTGAGACTTTATGAAGTGGGTTGAGGTGATCTACCTTTGAGATAAATATTAGTCGCCTATTTTTGGGAACAGTTACATGTTTTCAAGGCTGCTGTTTAATACTGCTGATGAAGTTATCCAGCAGAGTATTTTGGAATAAAGTCTTTAATATTTTCATAAAGTATGATAATCATTGGTGTATTTAATAGAGTTTAACTTGCACAGCCGGGGAAAAAAAGTGTTGAAAAACTAATTTTTTCATGATAAACTAGTTTGTTTCATATTTTTCTGTAACTTTGCCTTTTTCAGATGGAAAGTAGAAATCATGCCATCCAGAAATTTGGTTGACCGCTTGGATGCAGGTTGTCAATGTTTTATGTTGTCCATTAAACAGGCAATGACATGTCATAATGCATCAGACAATCAAATTATCATTCTATGGCTGGCTTTACACACACGAACAATGCATACAATTTGTTCTGTTGAGTTTTTGTAATATTTATCCCTATTTTTTAATTTGTTTTAGGTTACAAGATACCAGTCATAGAAAACTTGGGAGCATCATTGGTAAGCATGTAGTCCCAGATGTTTCAACCAATTTTGTTTGCACTCCTTCAAGTACCTACCAAACTTTAGTAGCCATAGAGTTCTACTTAAAAACGTTAGATTTTTACAATTTTCTCTGGGTGCCCTCCCCCCAGTTTCTGAATGGTTTGAAATGTTCACCATTATCAATCACTGCCATCTAACCTACCTATTGGGTTTGAGTCTCAGGTTTGGCGAATGTGGGTATGTGAGAAAGCTTGCCAGTAGCTTTTCATGGGTTAGTGGTTCTATCCAGGGTTTTTACTGGTTCTTCCTTAACAATTTATACTGGCCACTACAAGTGGTCTCCAATATGATTAATTTGATCATCTTTGACATTGAGAAAAGACACAAGTAGATTGGGGAATTAGTGATAAAAAATGACAAAAATAAAGAAATGAAAAAGTTGCTATGAAGTGTTTACAGTTATTTTTTATGGTAAATCGACAGCTGTCACACAACAGTCAGTAGTCCTCATCTATGCCAGTTTTCGGTCAGTCATTAAAATTTGCTTGTAGTTCTCTAAGTCATTGCTCTACACATTGAGTAGCCTTAGATTTCACTGAAAAAAGCCTTAACTATCATTTTTTTCTGTTGATAGTATTTATTAATAAAGCCATTCCCATGATTATATCTATAAAGTCTTTGCCATGATAGTATATATTAATAAAGACCTTGTCATGATAGTATATATTAATAAAGACCTTGTCATGATAGCATGTAATAAAGTCCTTTTCATGATAGTATATAATAATAAAGTGCATGCCATGATGGCATATATTAATAAAGGTCATGCCATGATAGTATATATTAATAAAGACCATGCCATGATAGTATATATTAATAAAGACCTTGCCATGATAGTATATATTAATAAAGTCCTTTTCATGATAGTATATAATAATAAAGTGCATGCCATGATGGCATATATTAATAAAGGTCATGCCATGATAGTATATATTAATAAAGACCATGCCATGATAGTATATATTAATAAAGACCTTGCCATGATAGTATATATTAATAAAGTCCTTTTCATGATAGTATATAATAATAAAGTGCATGCCATGATGGCATGTAATAAAGTCCTTTTCATGATAGTATATAATAATAAAGTGCATGCCATGATGGCAAATATTAATAAAGACCATGCCATGATAGTATATATTAATAAAGACCATGCCATGATAGTATGATAGTATATATTAATAAAGACCATGCTATGATGGCATATATTAATAAAGGCCATGTCATGATAGTATATATTAATAAAGGCCATGGGGCACCAAATGGTCTAAAGCGCTCTCCATTACAGATCACTGCCATCTCACCTCTGTCTGCATGGGTTCGAGACTAAGATTTGGCGAATGTTGATATGTGAGAAAGCTTGCCAGTAGCCATGATGGCATATATTAGTAAAGGCCATGTCATGATAGTATATATTAATAAAGACCATGCCATGATAGTATATATTAATAAAGTCCTTGCTATGATAGTATATATTAATAAAGTCCTTGCTATGATAGTATATATTAAAAAAGTCCTTGCTATGATAGTATATATTAATGAAGTCCTTGCCATGATAGTGTATGTTAATAAAGTCCTTGCCATGATAGTGTATATTAATAAAGTCCTTGCTATGATAGTATATATTAATAAAGTCCTTGCTATGATATTATATATTAATAAAGTCCTTGCAATGATAGTGTGTGTTAAAAAGTCCTTGCCATGATAGTATATATTTAATAAAATTCTTGCCGTGATAGTTTATATTAATAAAGTCCAGGCCATGATGGTATATATTAATAAAGTCCAGGCCATGATGGTATATATTAATAAAGTCCTTGCCATGATAGTATTTATTAATAAAGTCCTTGCCATGATGGCATATATTGATAAAGTCCTTGCCATGATAGTATATATTAATAAAGTCCAGGCCATGATTCTATATATTAATAAAGACCATGCCATGATGGTATATATTAGTATACATTAATAAAGGCTTTACCATATCTGGACTTATGCTAGTTCACCCGATGATAACTTTATTCCTGACAAAATTTTCTTTTCTCCATGTCTGCATTTTATGGATCTTTCCTATTAGCTGAGGTTGAAGGCACACATGTATTACAGACCTGTTTACCCGACCGTATTTGTACGGAATAAAGCCCATCCGTATGGTCATACGGTCATTGAACTGAAAATACGATTTGAGGTTGCATTTATTTATTACTTTTTAAAATTAATTGTTTAAGCCGTTTTTTTTTTTCATTTCATTGTATAGTTTCTTCGGTCCGTGTCCGCATTTTGTGCCACTTCACTTATTTTGACATTCTCAATATCCAGTTGTTTAAACAAAGGAAAATGCCGACGACAAGAAAGTTTCAGCACGAAACTGATGATGAAAATGGAAAGTCTAACACAGAAAGCAGCATTTTCTACCAGTTTATTCTACTCTGTGGTTATGCCTTAAACTATCATCAAAAGGAGAACATTTTGTGCATTGCACTGTTTGCAACTTAGACTTTTCCTGTGCACATGGTGGAAGGAATGACTGTTCACTGCATGTGGAATCGGAAAATCATACAAAATTGAAATCATTAGTGAATGGAAATAGAAACATTTTGTCAATGATGAAAGGAAAGGAAGTCAGTGATCAAAACATACTTCAAAAACTAATAACATGTGCTGAGGCGATTCTATGTGAGTTGATCGCAAATATGAATTTGTCATTGAGTACAGCTGACAAGTTAACGGAAGCAATGAAAAATAATTTATTAACCTTATTTCCATTCTAGTAAATATTGACAAAGATGATAATAGATTTTATCAGATAAATAAGATTGCCT